CATGTCACTCCAAGTCCCAAATCCTTTATTAAGTTTACCCTGTCCTGTTTCTAGTTTCACATTCCATTATTTTCCTGAACCTGTGTTTACCAGGCCATAAAGGTAAAGGTAAAGGTTCCCCTTGACAATTTTTGTCCAGTCGTGTTCGACTCTAGGGGACGGTGCTCATCCCCGTTTCCAAGCCATAGAGCCAGCGCTTGTCTGAAGACAATCTTCCGTGGTCACATGGCCAGTGCGACTTAGACACGGAACGCTGTTACCTTCCCACCGAGGTGGTCCCTATTTATCTACTTGCATTTGCATGCTTTCGAACCACTAGGTTGGCGGGAGCTGGGACAAGCGACGGGCGCTCACTCCGTCGCATGGATTCGATCTTACGACTGCTTGGTCTTCTGACCCTGCAGCACAGGCTTCTGCGGTTTAGCCCACAGCACCATCACGTCCCTCCTTACCAGGCCATATCCCACATCATTTAGCCACCTAGCTTTTGGTTAGTTCCTTAACTCTTAATTGCCCACCATATCAATGTTTTCTCCTACCCACAGACCTTATCCATCACTGACTGTAATCTGTGTTTCCTTATATTATCCAATGACAGTACACAGATGGTTCCTCTGCTTCCTTCAGTTTGTTCCTTCCTCTATGTGACTTAGCTGTTTGTTTATTTAATTTAATTTAATTACACTTCCTCTGTCTTCCTTTAGCTATTTTGTCTTTGGGCTACCCTATCCTTAGTTGTTTTATCTCCCAAGAAGGATACTTCTTGAAAGTACTTGTTGTATCCCTAGGACCTGTGGAGTTGTCAAAGAGACAAACTTCTTTCCCTCACACAATCTGGACTCTGAATACATGACAAACTTCTTTCCCTCACACAATCTGGAATCTGAATACATTCCTACTACAAGTGTTAACCTCTGAACTACAGGGATGTTTTTCAGTGTTCTGCCTTCATAAAATTACCTCACCCAGCAAGTGTCAAAACCTTCACTGCCATTATCTCAATGCTATATTGTTTATTAACACATACATTTCCACCATGAGAAGAACTGTCTTTGATTTAACAGGAAATGGAAAATAATTGACCAAGTGATGCAGGATGCTTACAGAACAAAGGATATGTACCTGCCTATTTGAGGCAGTGGCAGCCGTTGTCCATTGTGGTTGGTAGAATGGAAGGCAAAGCACAGTGGACAGAGCCTAGGCAACAGGCAAATGAGGTTATTTATATGCACACATAGTGACAGTCTAGGAAGAGAACATTTGCTATTTTAACTACTTACATAGGGACACAGCGCAGCACAAACAGATGTGCCCTGACCCTCTGCCTCTAGAAAAGGGCCAGACAAGAGTGGTCTGGATGGGTATAAACTGAACTGAGCAGTGCCACGTTTGTGCTAATGAACAAACCTCTACTAGCATGAGGTATGGGAGACAAACTAGCAAAAATATTATCCATGGTTAATTTAGACCCTGTATCTGGAGGTCTCCTGGTGACATAATATACAAGAATTCTGTGACTAATGCAATGCACCTACACATTTGTATAGTCAAGTGCTGCTTTTGTTTAGGATCAGGTGAGACTGCAGTCCTGTTATAAAGCAAACTGCGAGCAAGACGGGAGTCTTAGCGAGTAAAGAGTTGGATGAGAATTTAAGACTGTGGCTCTCAGATAGGATGCCTGTCAACAATGGAGAGACAAGATTTGTTGTTCACATGAATTTCAGTTAATAGTGTTGTCTGAAGATTATGGAGAGGGGCACAACTGTGCACATTTTCATACACTTATTCAGTTTTCCCTTTACTTCCTTTGGTTAATGTTCCATGCAGAGAAAAAAATGAGTCAGTCATTCTTTGATATCTGTTGGTCTTCCTTACAAGGTCATGTATACATTTTTCCTAGCCTCACCCATCTGTTATGACTTAAGTTTATAGGCACAGATCTAGCAGCTTCTTGTTTAACTGCAGCTATACTGGAAAACATAACGAGGGGTACCCCCATACACAGTTGCTTGCTGAGATCAAACACTTCATTCTGCTTTTCATAGAAAAAGCAGAGAAAGCCCATCAATCTACAGTGTGGAACACTGGGAAAATAAATAGTGGTATAAGAAGAACCTCAATTTTCCAGTATTTGTGTCAATGTCTACAGTTACCAGATTCTCCACTCATGAGTATTACTCACCAACCTCAGGATTTATTGAGACATGTTGCATTTAAAATTGACAGATACACTTGATTTTTCTTGTTGGAGGGTAACAAGGCAATGGTGAGATGGCAACATATCATTTTAAGCAGAAATGGAAAATGTGCTTTTTTTTTTGGTCCACAATTCCCAGAATAGCCGCACCCATGTTGGCTTGGGTTTTCATGAACTAATTGCAGTCAACGTAAAGCAAAGCAAAATAGCTTTTCCAATATTTTAAGCAGAATCTATGACCAACAAGTCAGATTGTTTTGTTGTTATTAATTTCTGAAACCATCTATCAGAAAGTTGAGAGGATGAAGACTTAGGATGAAAACAGGAAGTTGTTCTAAATGTGAATAATACATTTGGAATGCCTGTTCTCTCTTCTGAAAACAAATGCCTCAGAATACTGTGAATGGTGATTCAAACCACTTCCATTCCATTTTCTAAGGGCTGCTCTTATTCTCAGAAGACACTAGGCTACAGATTACAGAACAAAATATGGTCAAGAAAGACAGAAAGTGGTTACTGAGAACAAATATAATGGAGCATGCAAATACTGTAGTTATACAGTGAACAAAATTATGTAATTATGATTATATTGTTCATCTTCTGTTAGTCGCCCCATCAAATCTCTATGGCAAAAACACAGTGGCAATCCAGGTGTTATTACATGGACTTCACATAGGGTTGTGCTGTTCTGCCTTTTGAGCCCTTTGATATTACAGCACTGACAGCCAAGACCATTTCCCTCCATTTCTCCAAGGTGATAAAGGAACCCACTTTCCAGAATTTCCAAAAACACATTGGGAGAGGTCCTTTGAGATGCCAAGTCTACCAGCAGTAGGTAGAGCAATGCCTGTTTTATTTACAACTTTCCTGCCTCATTGCCTGGCTTCAGAAGGTGAAAACAATGCCTTCTGGTTTTGTAAGCACATCCTGCCCAAACAAAATAAACATGAATACAATTTCATATTCCTTTAGCACCTCCCTTGACGATCTAAAGATGGTTGTATGTGACCCCTTCCTACATGCGTGGAGCCTTTCCTACTCAGTGCAACATACACAGCAATGGAACAAATAATTTATGAATAGAGTATATCCTCCTATACTGTTTCTTACCCTGTCCTTCCCCTTGGATTATGTTTATTTTATCTTTTGGTCATATTTATCATGGACTCTCAAGGCTGAGAGGACCGCTTGTAGGTTTTTCGCTCCAGGCACCAAAATACCTTACTTGATACTATATACCTTCACTAATAAGTTGAGCAGGGCACCATTTGCTCCTCTGTGCTAAATATCTTGGCCTGGCTTTAGACAAGAGTTTTTAGCTTTTTTCCCTCCGTTTGATCACATGCAAATTGTCACGTTGCAGGAAAAACAATAGAGAGCCTTGAAGACCAACAACCTATGACAATCGGGATTTTTTTAGTTATTAATTTCTAAAGAAGTCCTATGTTCCTGACAGAAGCACCACAGTACAATTAATACATTCATTTAATTTTTTTTCACCCAATAATAGGCAGCCTCAAGAGCATTTGGGACAACAAATACCAAACCTTCCACAGTACACGTTGTGGGGGGGGGGCAGAATACGTTGCCATAGATGTGAAGTTGCCTTTTTAGGTTTGAAAAGGAGGTATGTCTGTGCAAAAAGCCCTTTTTTCCCAGCTCACTTTTGGGCTTTGGCAAGTCAACAGCGTAGCCTGTTGCTAGTTTGCCTCAAGAATGGTGGCAAAAGCCAAGGGGGGAAAAGAAAAGAGAGAGAAGCTGGGAAAGGTCGTTGTAGATAGCCAGACACTGCCCAGGGGCGCCGGGGAAGTACTGTAAGAATTTGGAGTCGGGCGTAACACAGAGGAGGAGCATCTGAACAGCAGGGCAGACTAAAAAAACTTCAGTAACATAGTCACTGCCGTTTAAAAGTTTGTACTCCTAAAACGCACCAAGAACGATGGAAAAAACAAGGGGGGATATTTTAAAAAGAAGAAAGTAAAACTAGTAAGAATGCACGAAACCAGACAGGAATGGACTTGTGTCACTGGGCGGCGGTGGCCTGGAGGGGGGGTACGAGAGAGGGAAAGGCATCCAGGGGAGGAATTCCCTCCCCCGCTTTGCCAGCGCGGTTGCACCTCCTTGCTCGGCGGCGCGTCCCGCGTCTCGGATGCCGGGCTTCCCGTCTCTCCCTTGGTGGGAGGGGCATGAAGAGGAAAACTTGCCAAAAATGAAAGAATCCCGGGGGTGTGTGTGTGTGTGTGGGGAAAGGAGTTGGGACGCGCCCCTCCCTGCATTTTGAAGAGGGAGCGCGCCTCCACTCCCGCTCGTCCCATCGCTTTCAATGGAGTTCGGGGGGAGGCGAGCCTTTGCTTTTTCCTCGCCTTCCGTCATTATTCCGCCCCCCCCCAATGACCTCCGCTCCAAACCAGGACGTGCTTCGATCCCAACCACTTCCCTTCACTGATACTTGGGGGAGGTTAAACAAAAGGGGGGGGGAAACAGTCCCTCCGGCTTAAGCCCCCCTCCCCCAGCTCCGTCTAAGCAGCTAGTTAACCAGCCTCAACCGGGCCATATATCTCCTAGGAGAGACGCATTCCTTTTCCTTCTCGCCGCTCTCTTCCCTTCCCACCCACAAAAAAAGCACACCGCATTAGAAGAGGAGGCGGGAGAACGGGCATTGTGCCGGCGAGTGGGTGGGTAGGCGCCACGCACGACTTTTGGGTGCGTGCCATTCATGAGCATTACGGCACCCATTCCTGGGCTCCTTTTGCCTGGGTTTCTCCGGAGGCGGCGGCGGCGAGAAAGGCGAGAAGCGCCCTCTTTCTCTTTCTCCCTGCCCCCCCCAACCCGGCCCGCTTTGGCTTCTCGATCCTGAGGAGCAGCCATGGCCGAGCGCCGCGCCTTCGCCCAGAAGATCAGCAGGTAAAAGAGCCCCCAAGGGGCCGGCGGCGAGGGCTGCGGGGAGGGCGAGTTCCCCGCGCAAGAGCCTGAACTTCTTCTGTCCATAGGGCGAAAGCGCGCCAGGGGCCTAGCAGGGGCCAGGAGGTGATCTGCCCCCGCCCCAGGCTCCCGGGTGCGTGCGTGTGTGTGTGTGTGTTGGATTCTGCTGGAGACTTGATGTGATTGATGGTGGGGGGGGAGGTAGCTTGCGTGTGTGTGTGTGTGTCTTTTATGTGGCGATTTTGCGGGAGCCGTATCTAGCCAAGAGTCCCACCCCTCCCTTCTTTCTGTCTCTTGCATGTCCCTGTGGGCCAGCCTCGACGTGGGTGTGGGGAGCCGTGTGTGGTCGCTTCTAGACCGTGGGTTGGTGCTGCCGCGGCTGCTTTTGTGTGACCCAGATCTTCGGGCATCTTGTGTGACTGCGAGACCCCGCTGGTCTCTAGCGAGGGGGGCGGGGTGCCTTCTGGATCCTCTTCCCGGAATGTGGGTGTCCCCTGTGGGGTTAGGCTCCCACCATTGTGGGTCTTTGTGAAACCTTAGGGCTTTATAACTCTGGGGCTGGAATGCATTGTGTTTGTGTGTCCCTACCAAGTACTGTATTCTTTGTATTCAGTTTTCTGGGCATGGGCTCATTTGGCAAGCATGTGCTTGCATATACTGTATGTGTATGGCTTATTCGTGTGTCACTTCTAAGTTAAAGCTCAGATGGTTATCCATTTGAGGTTTTTCTCATCCCATTTGTGGCATGGCGTGCAGGTGCTTGGCCTGTGCACGTAGGCCTCCTTTGTGATGCTTTGTTCTTGGGATCTGTGCATTGCCGCCGGGGTGGGGGGTGGGCAGGATGACACCCAACCTCATGTTTGGGATTTGCTCGGTTCTAAGCTGCACTTTCTGTATTCCTGTGGTTCTGACCTTCTGTGCTGTTCTTTCTGTGAGGCTGAGTTGTGTTGTGCTTTTTTTTACCTTTGTCCTTATGAGATGGTGTCTCTCTGTGTGTAGGTGTGCTGTTAAGTAGGCTTCTAGATGGAAGGTTGGATGCATTGTATGGCAAGAAGAATCTGGGTGTGGATTCTTGTTTACGTAGAAAAGCCACATTATGTCCTGTGTTTACAATATGTCAGGTTCCTCTCCCTTCTCAGTCTGTGAACTAAGATGGGCAGGAGACACAAAGGTGGCATTTGGGTGAACTGCCAGATCTGAAGAAATTCTTTACTCCCTGGCATGTCTACTCCCAGCTGTTGTGCTGTTCCTCTCCTACAGTGTCACTCCCCTTCTTTCTTCCCAGTAATGGGAAGGACCGCCTTTCCTTAGCATATGAAATGGGTGTGTTTGTGTGTGTGTGTGTCTAGTCTTCTAGGATAAGTTCCAGATTCTGTATTATTTATATATTTATTTATCTCTTTTCATAAATAACTTTTCTTTAAAAATGGCTTTAACTGGAATATTCTCATTGTTTAGCAAGCAAAAATATTCTTGTTGCCTTTTCTTTGGGAGTAGTGACCACTCTTACATATGCATTTTGATGAAAAAACCCCACTCTCCCCACAGTATGTTTTCTCAGAAAAGCCACTGCCATTTGTTGTAGAACTTCTACAAGGTATTAACCCCCAAAATTTGAGATGTTCCACCTTTGTTTCCTTGAAGGGATTGCAGTGTGTTTCTGAGCACATTTAGTTGAATACAAGTCTCATCATGCTAGTGGGACTCACTTTCTATTAAATTTGTTTTAGTTAAATAGGATAAACAGACAATAATGTTTTGTGCATACATGTAGTTTGTGTCTGACTTTGGTAATGTATACTCTTGGTTTTTCAGATCATGACCAAAAAGGTGTTAATAATACCAGATTAAAAGATTATGATATTCTGCCATGCTCTCTCTCACATTTTTTTCCTATGAGACAGTAATAGAATTACTGTATAGAAGTGGGACCTGCAAACAAACAGACAAGAAGTTGCAGTCTAGATTGCTCCTGTTTCTAGCCAGCCTACCAAACAACCAAGCCTTCTTTTAGGGTAGGCCCTCCCATTCATTTTCTCTTGCTCCACTGTTTTAATTTCCAGCTCAGCCTTCTGTAGCTACTGAGGATATTCAGTCTTCATTAAACTGCAGGAGCAGGAGGGGAATGCAGTTATCCTTTTTCTACTGCTCTTCCTACCCCCTCTTAATGGCCCAAATCCTGTAAGGTTTCAATAACTTGCTGTGTTGCTTACAGTCAATTGACAAGGTCCCAAGATGCACCTCGGTTGTCTTAATTGGTGTATGGACCAGGCACACAACAGAAACACAACTTGGGTTCTCATCATTTGACCCCAACTGGCCTCTGCAAGTTATAAAGATCATATGTAAACACTAATAGAATCCTGGCCAATGTTTTTGAATATTTCTGTATTTCTCAGAAATGCCCAAAGTATGCTGGCATTTCAGGTTTACATTCCCTTTGTTTTGACTGCAGTCATGTCAGCACTGTCCTAAGCAGTGTGGCGAAAGCAGCTGAATACTGAAGGTGCGTTCTATTGTGCGAAATACGTTCCATCGGAATCAAAGGGATTCCCGTTTAAATCCATCTATGCTTGGAGCAACTCCTGGAAACTAGAAAACGACCACTGATCTTTGAAGTCCGGAGGTTACAGGCTACAGTCTTAGCTATATGTATCAGAAAGTAAGTCTCACTGAAATCAATGGGACATCCTTCTGAGTATAAATTAATACGATTGTTTCAGCAGAGACTTCTCCCTTTACCCACCAATTAATTTAAAGAATGGGTTCTGTTTGGCAGAGCATTGAGCAGATTGATCAGATGCCCTGGACTGTGCCCTTTGTACTTTTTCTCAAGTAGTGGTCACATCACTGTGACCCAGCACTGGCCTGTTCAATTGTTGCTATTCAGAAGATGGCAGCAAGAAGAATGTTGCTTTCACTCTTTTTGAGTGGCAAGCTGTAGCAGCATTGACTGAGTCTGTTCGTGGGAGAGGTCTACTCCAAACGAAAAGTGAGGGGAAGAAGGTCAGTCTTTCTGTAGTTACTGATTTTATTGTAGAGGAAAGGAAACTGAGCTGGAAGAGGAGGTCTGTATTTGATTATAGGTATACCTCGGTTTACAAACTTAATGCTTTCTATGGGACGAAAAAATCGTAAACCAAAACGCAGCTTGCCATAGGAACAGGGGTGTCGCTACAAACCTCCAGGCACAATGCATCCTGGGGAAATTTTCTTTGCAAACCGACCCCCCCCCGAAAAAACACGCATTATTTTCAGTGGATTTTCGTTTGTAAACCGAAAATTACGTTAACCGAGATGTTTGTAAACCAGGGTGCTACTGTATTGGTTGCTAGTTGGTCGTGTTGGTGGTTGGATCAGAGTAGTATTAGAACATATCGTCTTTCATTGTTATAAGCTGTTTTGGGTTGTTTTCAAGGAGAAAGGCTGTGCAAAAATACTGTATATTAAATAAATAAATATAGTCTTACGGTACAAAGAAATTGGGTCTGTGTGTGTGTGTGTGTGTGTGTGTGTGTGTGTGTGTGTGTGTGTGTGTGTGTGTGTCACTCCATAGCAATGCATTTCCATACGTGGCAACTTTCAGAGGGTCAGCCGTGCTAGCCTATTGCAGAAAAAACAATGAATGTAGTCTTGTAGCACCTTCAGGCTGGCACATTTGTCGGCTAAAACAAACTAGAGTCCCCTTCATCAAGTGTAGCTTTAACTAATCTAGTAAACTTCATTTTTTGTTAATGTTTAAAGGTACTAAAGCAGGGCTTCCCCAACCCCCCAATCTGCGGCCTGGTGCCGGTCCGTGGCCTGGGCCGGACTGGACCACGGAGACAGATATCCCACTCCCTCGCACGCCCTCCCCCTGCACAGCCACTTTGCGCATGCACATGAGCATGCACACACCCCACCCATTTGTGCATGTGCACGACTGCCTCTCATGCTCCTGCCCTTCGCAATGCTAACGAGTGTCTGTATGCCTGTGCGAGCGCCCCTGCTCCTTTGCGCATGCGCCCCACATGAGTACGCACCCCCTTTGCGCATGCAGTTGTTCCTATAATCATGTCTGCCCTTCGTCAAGTGACCTCAGAGTTTGTAGATAGGATGCTCTCCTATTTGAAGGTAGAGCTTTTGCTCAAAATAAGCCAGCTCTGCATAATCTGCCCGGAGGGGAAGTGAAACCCATTGCCCAATCTTCCTCAACCTCATCCCCTCCAGATGTTTTAGACTAAAACTCCCAACCCTCTGACCACTGCCCATGTGAGCGGCCGCTGCTGTGACCTACCTGGGTCTAACACAAACTCATCTGTCTACAATATTCACTGATTTGCCCTGCAGCCCATTCCTGTTTCTTTAACAAATTTTTGGCAATATGGGTTTCCAGGCTAGAGGAGCAGGACTTCCTGCCAGAAGTTTTTGCACCACACACATAGGCAATCATCAACCACCTGCTATGTATGGATGATGTGCTCTTACCTGAAAAACAACTCTACACTCTTCCAAAAGATAGTGTGAGATAGAGGTGCCCACCATGAGTCCACTATTAGAGAGAAACCACAGTAAGAGGAGACATTTTATTTCACACTTTCACTGCAGATATGATCAACCAACAAGCAACACAAAGCAATACAGTGGTGCCTCGCTTAACGATTTTAATTGGTTCCAAAAAAAACATCGCTATGCGAAAACATTGTTAAGTGAAATACCATTTCCCATAGAGATGCATTGAAAACCGGATAATCCGTTCCAATTGGAACGGATTATCCGGTTTTCAATGCATCTCTATGGGAAATGGTGTTTCGCTTAACAATGTTTTCACATAGCGATGTTTTTTTTGGAACCAATTATAATCGTTAAGCAAGGCACCACTGTAATTCTATAAACATTTTTTTCTGATAATTTGATCTTCAAGGTGTCTCTCTGTCATAACCCGACAGATAACCTTGAACAATAAGACAGAATGCAGTTAAAATTCTAGTTGAAAAGGTCTC